TTAAATGTATGTGTGTATCTGTGTGAATGTATGCCATATATTTTGTATATTTCCTTATTCTGTTTTGTTTTGTTTGTTTTTCAAGACAGGGTTTCTCTGTGTAGCCCTGGCTGTCCTGGAACTCACTCTGTAGACCAGGCTGGTTTTGAACTCAGAAATCCGCCTGCCTCTGGCTCCCAAGTGCTGGGATTAAAGGCGTGCGCCACCACTGCACTATATGCCATGTATATGAGGGAGAGACTCTGGAGATCAGAAGAGGGTGTCAAATTCTTTGGAGCTGAAATTACAAGCAGTTGTGAGTCTCCTGAAGTAGGTGCTAGGATCTTCTGGAAGGGCAATACAGCTTTTCACCACTTAGCTGTCTTTCCAGCCCTCCCCCTTTTAGTGAGTTTTAAGATTACCAGTTCAGTTTGCATAATCACTGTAAGGTTAATCGAATTGGCAAAGGTGTGGAAATGTGTGCTCTTTAGGGAACCGGATCTTTTTTTTTTCCCCTTCCTTTGTGGAGAGTGTGTCTTCTGCACTCAAGGCTCTTCCTTTCATAACTGCAAGTCTGGATTTCCTTAACCTTTGCCAATCAAATAAATGAATTGTGAATTTCTAAATTTGATTTTCATAGGTTTTTTTTTTGTTTTTTTGCTGTTTCAAAATCGTGTGTGTGTGTGTGTGTGTGTGTGTGTGTGTGTGTGTGATGCTTGAAAGTAGAGTTCCACATGTATGTGTAAACACGTTCGTGTGGAGGGTAAGAGCATTTGGGGTGTCATTCCTTTGGTGCCAGCCACTATTTACTCATTCACTCATGAATTTCTTATGTGCTTGTGAGGTATGTGTGCTTGTGCACAGGATGTATATGTGTGCACATGTGGATGTGCATGTCCGTGGCCATGCATGTGGAGGCCAGACGTTGATACCAGGTGTCTTCTTCTATCACTAGCCATGATACCTTTTAAAATTAAAAAAACAAACAAACCACTTACTATTATATTTCATGTGTGGGGGTGTTTTGCCTGCGTGTATGTCTGTATACCCGGCACAGAAGAGAGAGTTAAATTCCTTGAAACTGGAGTTACAGACAATTGGTTGTGTATGTTGGGAATTGAACCTGAGTTCTCTCCAAGAGTACCCAATGTTCTTAATCACTGAGTCGCCACTCCAGCCCCTTGACCTTATTGTACAGAGAGGTTCACACTGAGCCTGGAACTCACTGATTGGCTGGACTAGTTGGCCAGCCCCCTAGATCCTCTTGCCTCTCCCCCTAACACTGGAATGATAGACATATCTGGCTGTGCCCAGCTTTTACATGGTGCTGGGGCTCTGCATTCAGGCCCTCAAACATGTGCAGCAGACAGGTTACCCACTGACCCACTGACCCACCTCCGAGCTCTTCCTTCCCTATATCTTTTTGAAACAAGGTCTCTCACTGGCTTAGGGTTCACCAAGTAGACTAGGATGGCTCGCCAGTGAGCTCCAGGGATTCATCTGTCTGTGCCTCCCCATTGCTGGGACTATAATCACATGCCAGCCATGCCCAGCCCTTGTCCCCTTTCAACATGGGATCTGAAGATAGAACTCAGGATGCTTGTGCATTGAGATCAGTGCTTTACCTCTCTCGCTGTCTCCCCAGCCCTGGGTTTTCCTATTTTGATCATCCTTCTCAGTCTGTGTGTCTGTGCCTTAGTCCTTTTCTTCTGATTTGCAAGCACTCCTTTTAGCCACCGTATGGTTTGTGTGATTTCCCAATTATGTGTTCTCTTTATCCTTTTACTGTTACTTTTGCATGCGCATGCACGCACACACACACACTTTTAATTTTCATGTCGTTCAACCAGTAGATATTTAAGGCCTCTGGGGTACCATGCGGTATCTGCACTTAATCAGTTTCAAGAGATAGAAGCCTATGTAAGACTAGCCTGAGACAAAACAAAAAGAAAGGAGAGGAGAAGAGAGACTGACTTATGTCAGTGGGCACTGGAGAGCGATGTCTCCGAGTGACTGGAGCACAGGCATTTGTCTCCTGTCCCACTGTTCGGCTCTGTTTATACTTGTGTGGCGATATCATTTTCTCAGCTAAGATAAAAAGACTCCTGGTACTCTAGAGCTTACACTTCATTGATTTAAGGTCCAAAAATGAAAGGGTTTCAGAGTCTATGGCTCATACCAAATGAAAGGACTCAGGGTGGCCTCTCCACACCTTGAGGCAGTCCATGAAAGTGAGAGATAGTGCACCATGATTGGTCCTTCACCCATCTCTGCAGCTGATGGGAAGCTGAGTACAAATCAAAACTCCATGCTGTGGATGCAACAGTGAAGGACAGGAAGAAACAGCAGAAGTTTTCTACACTAGTCCTTCTGAGAAGAGCCTTCGTCCTCATGATGGGCTTCTAAAATGTTATTTCCTCGTAACATAGGTGGTAAAAAGACTGTGCATGTGCATGTACATGTATGTGTGTATGTGTGCATGCATACATAGCTGTGTGTGCATATACGTGTGATTATGCATGAGTATGGACATGTTTACATGTGTCTATGTGAGCATGTGTGAAGTTTTTGTACTTGTGTACACATGTATGTGTTCATTTGTGTGAATATGTGTATCGGGAATATGAATATGGAGTGAGGTATGCACATATGTACATGTATGTGTGTGCATGTGTGTGTATTTGTATGTACATGTGTGCATGTGTGTTGGGAATGTGAATATGGAGTGAGGCAGGAAAGCTTTGTTGGATGTCTTTATGCTTGAAGAGATACATTTAAATGTATTTTTTCACCCATAATCACTTTTTCTTCCCATTATATTAGTTTATTTTGAGTTAACATTGCTCTTACAAGATTAGGGTGGTGGAAGGGTTAAGGGTTTCATCTATCATGGACCTTTTCACAGTTGGTATTTGCAGACATGTGCTTTAACTTGTGGAAGCCCAAAGCTCTTCATGGGACACCTTATGTGTCAAGATGGGACACACCAATGAGAAGTGTTGAGTGATACTGAGTCTCTACAGATAGCCCAGGCTACCTTAAAAAACTAGGATAAAGGTGAACATTGAATTCTCTCCCATTGCCTTCGTGGGGATGAGAGGAGGCAGGGTGAGTCTCAGAAAGGGGATGAAGGGCAACAATGAACAAGAGACTGAAAAATTTCACACCAGCCTGGGAACAGTTAAGTCTCTGATGGGAGCTGTCATACATGAATGTCCAATGGTGGGAAAATGTGTCCTGAATGTGTCCCCTGATGCCTACTACTCATAGATAAATAGATAATGTGTGTGTATATATATATACATACAGACAGACAGACAGACACATGTATGTAGCCCAGGCTGGCTCTGATCCTCCTGTCTCTGCTCCTGAGTACCAAGAATTGTAATGCAAGTACCACCATGTGTGTCCACTGTCATATTTCAAGCCTTAGAAGACTTTTAAAATGACTCAATGCTAAGGACGTGCCATCTGAGGCTCAATGATGTCTTTGTTTTTACCTCAGTATGTTTCCCATGTAGATTCAAAAAAGCATTCTTTCCCATTAAAAGCATGCTCAGCACGATCCCATTCTCGTGACGCTGTTTTATGGAATTATGGTCTCACCTGGCAATCCTCGCATCTCTTTGAAGATCAACTGTCAAAAATGTTGATTGTTAGATTGTAATCGGCCCTTTATCTTTTCTGCTTTCTTCTTATATTAATAAGCACTTATTTCTATAAAATGGTAGACATTCCTTTTAAGAATAAACAATCATAAGAGACATCCACACCCGGCTCCTAGGAATCAGATGTATTTTTCTCAGTATGTGAACAGTCTTGTCTGAGGGCAGCTGTCAGTTGGAAATACATCATGGATTCCACTCAGGCCTTCAGAGGACCTCAACCAGAAAGGGAGAAACGAGGAGATGAAACCAAAATAGGAAGAAAAAAACAGCAGCCTAGGAGGCAGGCCTCCCACTCAGGGACCAGGCCATGGATGGCGTTGAGGAGTTGGCCCTCCATTTTTTTCTCTGTGTCAGAAGACCCTGTTTCCGGCCCTTCTGTTGGGGCTCCCTTTGCTCTTGAAGTTTTCCCCTATGCCTCCAGTTTGGGCCTCTTTTTTGTTTTTCTCACTGTTAGTCAGCTTCTTGTTCCTATGATGATGTGCCTAAAACACTCAAAGGGAACAGTTTTTTGGTTGTTGATGTTTTGTTTTGTTTTGTTTTATTTTGCTTTTGGCTCACAGTTTTGGACATTTGAGTCCATGGCCAGTTTGTGTTCCTGTTGATTTGGGGCTGGTGACGGGGCTGCATATTGTGGCTGGAACAAAGCTGTTCATCTTAGGACAGGCAGGAAGCAGAGAAAGAGCCCAAGTTATGATTCAATGGTCCTAACATCCCCTTCAAAAGCACAGCCAGTGGCCTAATTTACTTCCACCTCTGTCTCAGTTAGGGTTTCTATTGCTGTGATTGAATGCCATGACCAAAAGCAAGTTGGGGAAGAAAGGGTTTATTTGGCTTACACCACATTGCTGCTCATTACTGAAGGAAGTCAGGACAGGAACTCCAACAGGGGAGGAACCTGGAGACAGGAGCTGATGCACAGGCCATGGAGGGCTCCTGTTGACTGGTTTTCTCCGCTGGCTTGCTCTGTCTGCTTTCTTATAGAACCCAGGTCCACCAGCCCAGGGATAGAACCACACACAATGGGCTGGGCCATCCCCTATCAATCACTAGTTAAGAAAATACTTCACAGTCGGCTCTTAAGGAGGCTTTTCCTCAGCTGAGGTTCCCTCCTTTCAGATGACTCTAAATCAAGTTGACATAAGACCATGACTGGTTACAACTTCCTGAAGGTTTCCACCTCCCAGTAGCACCACCCTGAGAACCAAGGCTTCAACACACTGGCTGTATTCAAACTCTGACACTGCTTGTATTTAGATCCCTCCTGTGCATCTAGAAGGTACTGAATGACTCCTTAAGAGACATGTGGTTTCCTGATGAGGTCATTCTTCTCATCCAAACCTCTTTGTCTTTCAGGCTCACCGGCTTTCAGCTACCAGCCACCATAGTCAGTGCGGCCAGCACCTTGTCCCTGAGCCTCATCAGCGACTACGCAGTCAGTGCCCAGGGCTTCCGTGCCAGCTATGAAGGTAGGTGCCTCCGATTGCAGATTGCCGTTGCAGCTGCAGGAGTCCTGGGGTGCTGTCCTAGCCACAGCAGGGCTGGCTGCCCAGGACAGTAGCTCTGCAGATCGGAGCCTGTGCCTGCCTAATGAGAGCAGTTAATAACTCAGTTACTACAGCAGCCTCTCCCTCCCTTCCTGGGACTTGAGGAAGGCAACCCGGCTGTTCTAGTTTATGAAGAGGGCCTGGGGATGTCTTCTCTGCCCTGGTTTAACTGGTTTTGGTGTGCTTTTAGTTTTTGAGCTCTGTTCTGTATTGGAGTTACTTCTGTGAGGTGGCTCAGATTGGTTTTGAAAATATGTGAGCTATAAACGATGAATAAGAGGGAATGAGCACCAGAGGGCTCGACCCAGCAAAGGCAGAGTCCAGATCACGTTAGTAGGGGAAGAAGAGGCCATTTTTCCTTAACAGTGTGGATTAGGGCTTCTTGGCTTGATCTGAACAAATGATTTCCACTTCTCTTGGTCTGTTTAAAGACAGTGTCAGAATTCAAATTAACACTAATATCTTCAGACTATACACTATTATTATTATTAACTTTATTATGTTAGTTTAGAAGGTGGTTATTGTACATCTCTGTCATTTCCTTGGGAAATTTACATCTCATTAATAGGTAATTAGGCTGCTCTTGGCTAAGCCCTGCACTGCTATTTTGTGTCGCGATCATTAATCGGTGTATTTTAAGACTGTTAATGATAATTAATAACACTGATGACATAACACCCCAATAAAGCATGCCAATTACTCCAAAGCTCCTTCCCTCGTCTTTAAAAACTCAGAGTGTAAGGGATGAGTTCCTGAATGAAGCTGTAGCAACATGGAAATCGATCCTACCCTTGTCTGGGAAGCCAGGAGTATCCCAGCAGGGTGGATGAGGTCTCACTCCTTGTCCAGAGTAACCCAGTTGGGGCGGGGAGGGAGGGCAGTTGATGCAGTAACTGAATCCACTGAGGGCTTCTTAGAAGATGTTAGATTTAGATACTCCTGCAATGGCTCCCAACTGTCTTGCACATGCCTTTAACTGAGAGCCCCTGCCCTGACTCCACCTTAACTGAGGGCTCCTGCCCTGACTCCACCTTAACTGAGGGCTCCTGCCCTGACTCCACCTTAACTGAGGGCTCCTGCCCTGACTCCACCTTAACTGAGGGCTCCTGCCCTGACTCCACCTTAACTGAGGGTCCCTGCCCTGACTCCACCTTAACTGAGGGCTCCTGCCCTGACTCCAGCCACCTTAACTGAGAACTCCTACCCTGATTCCAGCCACCTTAACTGAGAGCTCCTGCCCTGATTCCAGTCACCTTAACTGAGGGTTCCTGGTCTGATTGTCTCACCTCAACTAAGCCCCTAACCTTCACATTACCTGAGTGCTCTTGACAAGACATACCTGCCTTTCAACTGTGTGCTCCTGAGATGCACGTTTAAAACATGATCAGCTGCATGCCAGTACCATGTCTGAGAGCTTGGCCATCTTGGCTGGGCTTTTACCTGGCTCTGCACCAAACAGCCTCTGTGCTTCAGGCTCCTTCCTGAGAGAAGCTTCTTTGAAAGCTTCTTTTTATTTCCTTCATTAACATAAACTCCACGTACAAAGAAATTCGTCTCACGACATTTTCATACTCCGGTATCATGGACTTGACCATATTCATCTTCCAGTATCTTCCCTTTTGCTGTTAGTCTCTTTCCTTCCAGAGCATCCCCATGAGTGTCCATTGTGTGCGTGTGCATGCGCACGCGCCTCTGTGTGTGTGTGTGTGCGCGTGTGTGTGCGCGTGTGTGTGTGTGTGTGTGTGTGTAAGATCTAGATTCTGCACAGAGAGTGGGATATTCGTCCTCTGAGTCTGGGGTATTTTAACATTCTAATCTGCAGTTGCACCCATTTTTGTGCGTGTGGCATGTGTGTACAGGTACATATAAGTATTTGATGGACATGCATGTGTGTGTATGCATGTGGAGGTCAAAGGCCAGCCTTGGATGTTCTTCCTCCGGAGCTGCGTACCCTCTTTTTTGAGTCCACTGGCACGTGGGCTTGTAAAATAGAATATTGGAATGGCTGGTTAGAAAGCCTGAGAGAGCAATCTGTCTCGGCCTCTCCAGATTTGGAATTAGAAGCATGTTCCCCATGCCTGGCTATTTATAGGGGTGCTGATGTTGGTCCGGGACTCACTCAGGTCCTCATGTTTGCACGGCATCTACATACTAAGCCACCTTTCAAGTCAAACTGTCCAGTTCCATCCACATCATTAGTCTTTATGACCCAATAATCTCTATTGCGGATGTATGCCACCTTTCTTTGTCATGCATGTGTTCTTGGGTATCTAGGCTGGTCCCACAGCTAGGAAGTGGTAAACAGTGCTGCATGAAACACAGATGTGCAAGTGGCTCTGCAGTAGGCTGACTTGGCATCCTTTGGGCAAAGACTCATCATGAATGCCATATCTGGGTCATATGGTAGCTGTAATTTTAGTTTTTTAAGGCTCTTCCGTACTGAGCTTCACAGTGTTTGCCTGAAGGCACTGCCTCCCTCAAGCAGTGTACAAGGGCTTATCTTTCCCTCCATTCCCACCAGCCTATTGTCTTAAGGTCCTGGGTATCACTCCCTCCACAGCGTGTGGCTTTGGAGAGATTGCATTTAAGTCCTTAAGCTGTATTGTATGGACCGTGAGAGTAACAGACACAGTGGGGGCCAGCTTCTGAATGTGTGTCTGAGCACAGACCCTCATAAGACTTTAGGAAAACACCTGTGCCACTGACCTTTGGCACACTGCTCTATCAAGGGAGCATCCCACATGTGTTCATCAGGGAGGTCCCAGGTCTTTTCATAATCATGTCATGGTCCCCAGATTCTAGAGGAGCACCCCTTCCAGTCTGGTAGGCCCCCACTCACCATCAGGGCTCTCTCATGCTCTCCAGCCTGGTATCACCGGCTCCATTTCCAAATGGCATCAGGGTGCTGTTCTCAGTGGCTCCTCTTGGCGGGCATCCAAGCTGCCTGTCGGCTATCAAAGCAAGTCTGATCCTCCCGTACCCCTACCCTCCCTGCACCCTCTCCCCCCAGGGTGTGGAAATGGAAGATAAGGAACTGAGCTGCTGCTGGGATTTGACAGGAAGGTGAAGGTAGGTGAAGTGTCAGCCGCCACTTCAAGGCAGAGATCAAATGGCGCCGCTCTTCAAGCTCTTAGAGGAGAAGGGTGCTCCCTGTGTAATCCTCAGGGACAGGAGCGTGGGCCGAGTGGGGATGGGAGGGAAGGGGATCAGTGTTGTTAAGCACTGACTGTATGCCAGGAACTTTACATACATTTTCTCCTCTAATCTCCCACGGCAACATTGCAGCCAGGCCTGGCTATCTTCATCTTACAGATGTAACCAGCTAAGCCAAGGCAGGGTGGGGACGGGTGCGGGTGAAGCTTACGGGGACTTGATGGCCAAGGGTTTTAATGACACTCTTCTGTCACAAAAGTCGTACACTCTGAGACTTGCAAAACTCTTTGAGTAAAGGAGAGGCTAAAGTCTGTTTCTCAGGTAAGAGGATTGGAGCTAAGACAAACAGACAGATAGACAGACAGACAGACAGACAGACAGACAGGAGGACACAGGAAGACTGCCATGGATTCACTGTCCCTCCTGGATGACCTGAGCCACCCCAGAGCATCATCAAAGGTGCTGCAGAGTGCAGTGAGGGTCACCAGAAACAATAAAGTTGATACTCATGTTGAAATAGTTTTCAATGTTGGTATATTCCAGGGTCTTTGTGGGATAGATTTGAACTAAAAACTTGTGTGTACCCATGTGTGTGCAGGTGTGCACATGTGTGGGTGCATTTGCGTGTGGAAGCCATAAGACAACCTTGTGTGTTGTTCCTTCAGAAGCTATCTATGTTTTGTGAGATGGTGTCTCTCACTGCGCAGGAGATCACCAACCCAGGTCCTTTTATGGTCATGCCATGATTCCCAGATTCTAGAGGAGCACCCCTTCCCACCTGGGAGACCCCCACCATCAGGGTTTTCTTATGCTTTCCAGCTTCTGGCTGGCCAGAGAGCTCCACGGAACTACCAATCCACCTCTGTCTTCACAGCACTGGAATTAAAAGCATGTGCTACAAGACAATACTTGGTTTTCTGTTTTTTAACCAGGATTCTAGGGATTGAACTCAGGTGTTTTATGTTTACAAAAACAAGTATTCTCCAACTGAGCCAGACTCCCCACTCCTAGACCAAAAATATTTTATCTGTCCGTCTAAAATTCAAATTTTATTTAATGGTCTGCATTTTAATTCGCTTCATCAGGAATCCTCCGTCTGTCCTCCCTGTTCTTCCTTCCGGCTCTGTCCCTGCCCTGCTCTGTCCATGTCCAGGTCCAGCTCCCCTGGGTCATTCCAGCGTCGACACCACTTCCTACGCACACGCACACACGGGATCATCTATAGACTCGATTCTGTAATCTGGCTAATGAGGTTAGCCTGTTTATTAAAGGCAGCCCTCCTCCGTTCTTCCTAATGTCCATTAGAAAGGGAGCCATGAGGGTTTGCACACACCACTGTTGTTTAACCAATCATCTCCTGCTCTCATTTAGATGAAGAACACCCGTGTTTGCCCACCTTAAGGCCTCATCTAATTATCTTCTTAAGATAAATTCTTGGAAGGCCAATTGCTCAGCCAAAGAGGTTGCAGACTTTCCACTCTGATGCACAGTTTCAGAGCGCCCTCGGAAAGGTTAGACCCACGCACATTTGCAGCAGCAGCAGGCCTGTCCGGCTCAGGCCCACGTCCCCCTCACCCAGCCTACCCAGAGTGCTAGTGAGGTTTAAATCCGTTTCATTGATTCAAATGGGCGGAAAATGAAATCTCATTTGCGGTGACAATTTGCATCTCTTTGATGATAGGGAAGGTGGAACACCTGTCAGCACTTACTGGCCATTTGTGGATCATTTTCTAAATTGCCTGTCCCAGTTTTTGCTTACTTCTCCATTG